TTAACATTTTTTTCTGACCTGTACCATTTATGAAAAAAAAATTCTTCCCTGATCAGACAGATGATGTAAGGGTTATGCTTGTTCCTCATTGATGTGTTTGCTGAGTACAAAGGACTGTATTTAAGAAGAATATCTACCCATTTTGAACTAGCAAATGCGATGCTGTGTCCCAAACGTCCTAGTCCATTTTGCTAATTGCGTAACTCACTGAATGCAAATAATAGTAGATTTTTTTAAACCGTTGTTTTAGACCTGTCTTACATCTTTTCCCCCATCTATCTCCTGCTTAACACAATCATAGATTCTTTACGCTATAGTATGTGAAACTAACTGGAAACTTTCTCTTCCCAATGACTATTTTGTTATATATAAATAAGAAACTCACCGTTTTCCATAAATAAAAGGGACAATATTCACCTCATTATAATTTTTTTTTTTTTTTTTTTTTTTTTTTTTTTTTTTTTTTTTTTTCCCCAGTCTGTAATGACATTTTCATTTACCGACAGAAACTCAGGTAAAAATGCTGCTGGCAGAACACAATACTACGAGATGCATTGCCTCCCTGTTAGCAGTTTCAATTTTTAATTCAAGATATCATCCAAACACTGAACCAGTTCACTGTACTTTAACAAGCAAACCCAGCAATTTAACAAAACATAAAGCGGGCAAAACATGAAAGTCTCCTATGTATTGATGGGGGGGAGGAATAGTTATAAATCTAAACCCTCCATTCCAGACCACATCCCCAAATGTAAATAAGCACACAAGCATGTTGCTACATATTTTTACCGAAATAATTACAAACAGCCTTATCAGCGCCGACGAATTCAACAACGCACACATCATTTATCCGTTGTGCCCTCTGCTGGATAGAGCACACAAGGCAAGCAATATTATTTCCAATTAATTTTTGGCATCATCACTTGGCATCTGCTTTAGGAATGCAAAGCGTGAAATTTGTAGTAGCAGGTTTAATATTTGATCCAGCCAAAAATATTTTTGCTACAAGGACTTACCTTTGGTAGTGTTTTCCTCCTCGCTCCCCCCTCCTCCGCTCCGTGTTGTTTCGTTGCCACCGAGCCTTGTTTACGGTCCAAATGAAAAAATCTGCCACCAAACGCCATACGTGGCAGGAATAATTTCATGCTGAGCAAAATTTGTTTCATTTCACATCCTGTAAGAATAATTACTTAGCATAATGCCACTTAAGCTGCATTTCTAGCTGCAAACATTAAGGAAATGGTAAAAAGCGAGATCCCGGTTGGGAGAAAAAAAGGGTATTTAGGGGTCCCCGGGGTTTCTTAAAACTAGTCGCTTTTAACACCAGGGACAAGAAGAAGAATTAAGATGTTGTAAATGATGTCACTGAATTTAAAAACACAATAAACCCCAATATTTTCAATGATATTTGAGGTCACTCATGTGCTGGGGATCTCGATACAACGCTGCCTTCCACAAACCAGGACAAAACACCTGACCCATATTGCCCACATTTCGTATGCTTTTTTGTAATTAAGTTTATTTGCAGGTGACGGTTACCCAAAGGGTCCTAAATAAAACAGCAACTGAAGAAGCTGGATCCTCCTCATGTCATGTCATTGGCTCCAATTTTTCAATGACAGAACATAGGACTCAGTAGATTTGGAGGAGTTGAGGTGGATAAGCAGGGTGTATTGGCCAAATATCAGGAGAAGTTGTGCAAAAAATAGCACTTCTGGGCAGTGTGATACGCTGTGCCAAGGGAGGCTCCGACCTCCCTCCTAGGCCCCTGCAAGAGAGAAAAATCCTCTTTCATACCTAGTCAGAATTATTCATGGTTCACTCTTACCTTCTAGCAAAACCAAAGTGCAGCCTTCAATCAAATGCAAGACTGGCATGGTCTAATTGAATTAGTTCAATTAAGTTTAAGGATCAAAATTATGACTGTGGATTTTTAAACAAATCCAGTTTTCTCAATGCCAAACCACAGCTTGCAATCAAGTAGCAAATTCTTACTTTTTCTTTCCCAAATGTTGGCAGGAAATAATCACTTACAGAGAACTTCTCTTGAGAAGTACCTTACTCCCCTTGTTTTTTAACCAGCAATGGTAACGCTGGGTACACCAAGTATCCAGGCTGACCTTCATATTCCTCGAGGCCGTTGTGTCTCTTCCTCACTCACCAGCAAAACCCACTTTTCCTGTTTGACCAACAAGGATTTACTGATAAAATCCACTGATAACCAGTATGTTTGCACTGGGTTTGTTCAACCCAACAAAAGGCAAAAATCTCAGATTTGTTAGAAGCAGGCCGTGAAGGATCGCTGGATGGATGGAGGCTGTCAATCACAGAGCACCATCTCCAACCAGCCATTCACCAGCACAAATTCCCCCAGTTCCACACATCTGAATAAAGTTTTTCCAATTTATATTCATTCTTTGGTTTCACTCTGTTTTGAAAAAGCCTTTATTGAAATGTAAAGTTTGAATATAACAGGAGCGTCAAGAGGCAGCAAAGGAGAAATAATAAATTTTAGGAATAAAAATGGGAACAATTTGGGTGTACAAGTTCTTCTGGCCTGAAACAGGCAGCAGATTGTCCCTGGGGAAGCTTTATGAGCACCGAAGTTTTTCAGACACCATTTTTTAAAGTGGCTTTACTGCTAAATCAAAGGCCATGACAAAAAAGACCCCCAAACCATACAAAACCATGCTCCTCTTACATGTTTTTTTCCCCGAAGTTCAGCAGCTGTATCTGAACAGCAGCGATGTGTTACACCTCCAAAATACCCAAGAGCACTCTAACACCCCCATGGAAGGGACAACACGCGGAGGACACGGTGCCACCAGCGTCCTCCATCCTCAGCGCGTGGCTCTTCGTGGCCATGGAGCCAGCAGCATCTCGCAGCCACCTGGCAGGGGTGATTCCATGAGCACTCGCTCCGGCTTCGTTGGGCAGACCCAGACCAAACAGCCTTTTGGAGGGTACTGACAACAACGTCTTCATTCCCTACAGTGACTGGTGCAGGAGCTTTATTCACCTGTTTGCTCATGTAGCACCGTGCCAAGCTCCCAGTCCTGGAAGTCCCCTGAACGATGGTGAGGGCTCTGGCATGGGTGGGCTTCCTGGGGTACACACATGCCTTAATGTGGGCACCTTGTCTCATGAATTCCCCAAATGCAGAGGCCGGGGAACACAACAGTAGGATTTTGTGCTCTAAAATCCCCAGCTCAATGTCTTCCAGGCTGAGGCAGCCCATGACATTGTCACTTACCACGTATAAGATGCTTTCACGACCTGGCGGAAGTTTTCTTCTTTATTTAAAATATGCAATGGGGAACATGGGGAGAGAGGGTTCTAAGTACGTTCAAATTAACGTAGCATTTACAAAATCAACATTAAAAAAATAATTCACATGAGAACATCCAAGCGCCTCCACACTGAAATATTTCCCATCTACAAATCCCATCACCAAGCCCAGGGATGACTTGAAGGCAGCTGGAATTGTCCCTGGACATACAGAACCTCAGCAAACTGTCAAGAATGATGATGCCACCTTACAGATCATCTCCCAGGCTGGTTTTGGGAAGCCTGGCCCGTGAGCAGGCTTTGGTAACACAGGTGTACACATGTAACACACGTGCATTTCAACCGTGTTTCAGGACGGATCACCCTGTGTCCCGTCCGGCTGCATGACTCTCTTTTAAAGGGCAAATATAAGTTGCCAACATCCTCATTAAGGACAAGCAAAACAATTTAGCAGTTGCCTTTTTTTTTTTTTCCCCCCCCTCTCTAATTTTTTTTAAACACCGCACTGAATCCCAACGGGATTTGGGGGTTTTGTTTTAATGGCGTGGCAAAAATTTGCTGATCCTCCCCGTGGTGAAGTTACTTTCAAGTCAGTGAAAGTTCTTGGCCTGCGATGAAAAGTCTTTGCCAATTAGCGCTCAACAACTTCAATTCATCCCTCCTGGTTCAAGATGAGTAGGAACCTAATAAGGCTGTGATAAAAGGGCAAAAGGCACCGAGTACCCAAAGGGGATTAATGGGCTCTTCCATTTATTTGTCTTCCTAACAGCTGAACTGTTACAAGTATTGACGGTCTTCAAACGGCCCGGGCGCTGGGGTCTCCAATGGCCATCTCCAGCTCCCTGGCCCCAAGGGGCGAGGGCTTCCCCCTGGGCGATGCCAAAACCAACAAAGCCCCGGGGATCAGGTAATGAAACTTCAGCTTTTCCCCCCCCACTCTTCTTTGAGATTTATTTACTGGCAGCTGACAAGGGGCAAATTCAGCTGGAATTGTGTAGTCAAGGCCCTGTCAAGCCTTCAGAGGCACCCTTATGTCGAATCACCTTCCTGACTGGCATGTCGCTGAAAAGCCCTCGGCGCTGGTCCTTAACAGCTCCCGACAGCACAAAGGACACTCCAGACAGATGCCTACATGGCATCCTGCAGCATTTTAAAAGAGAATTAGTGGTTTTAATTATGGTCGTCGTATGAAAGGAAACCATGCAAGCTCGGCAGGAGACCTTTGATCAAACCCTTTTGCTAGCACAATGCCGCGGAACTGTGACTATTCCTAGCAAGGGGCCTTTTCTCGCTGAATGACTCACCAGTGATCTTTGAATGCAGACAAGTTCCTCGCCCTCCCTCTTCATTAGCGAGCATTTCTATACAGGCCCTATATAGTGCGCGGAGTCTCGGAGCTATACAATGGGGGGGAAAAAAGAATCCCTACAGATTCTGGCCTCTACTTAGGAAGTGCTGAAGGACTCTGAGTGACTTTATTCATTAAAACAGGTTGCTATTAATTAACTGTCATAATAAAATAAAGAACTATTATTTGCATTTCTTAGTGCGCTCCCTTTAGTAATATGTATAAAAGATGCTTGTAACAAAAATGAATTTATAAGGGAGAAAAAACCCTCAGAAGTCTTTTTTTCCTCCCCCCCCTTTTTTTTTTTTTTTTTTTTTTAAGGTCTAGGCAGCAGGAGCCTGACTAATTATTAGGACCGGTTTTGCAAGAGAACAAATAGAGGTAAAACACAAATATGAAAGTAATTAGGAAAATGCAAAATCCTGTTTACTTGGCAACCAATTCATGCAACTGAGATGAATGAAGAGCAAATCAGCTTTGCTTGTTTGATAAACTTAAGGGTGCCACCTAAGAGGAGCTGATAAAAATTAAACTTCTGCCAGCATCCCTCAGCACCGCCTTTTAGCGAACAGGCTCAGAAGCATCCACGCAACTGCTCCATCTACAAGCACCAGCAAATCTCATCTGAGCAGATGCAGGGAGCAGAATTTTGTAACTTCTATCGCTGTTAAATATTTTCCCCTTTGCGATCGGCCATCGCAAAGAGGGATATCTTCGAGCTGAACTCTCAACACGGACACCTGTATCACACGTGCATGCGATTCGTACGGACACGGCGCACGTGAACAGCAGGTTTGCAACCAGTTCTGTTTTGCTCCCTGAAAAAGCATCGCTTTTCCAACTGCTCTTCACACCTGGGAAGGCTTTTGCTGGTGGGAAAGTTCTCCTTGTAGTTGCATCGCTGCTTTTATTACAATACACGACGTTACTCGACGCGGGCTGCAGGCTGGGATACCTTTGTCCAGCCCCTCTTTTCTCTCAAGTAGATAGTGGAATCCACAAAAGCTTCCAATTATTTCAAGACTATGCAGCTAAGGAGGGGCATCTAATCAAGATAAAGAAAACCCTTGGCTCAGTATATTTGCTTGAATGGATTTTCAATAATGCAGGTAACAAAAGCATTCAAAAATTGGATTCCTAATGCTTTTCTGCTAGGCTGAAGGACTGATTTTGAGAAGGGAGAAGAAAGCCAGCCCTGAGAAAGCTGCACGGAGGAATGTATGATATTCTCCTGCTCTGTACAAACACTTCTGCAGGGATTGAGAAAAAGGAAGAGATTTAAGTGAGGCACGGTTGACCTGAAATGTAGTCAATTACAACACAAAGAGTTAAAATGACACCCCTGAACCGCTCCTCTTCCTTCTCTTCACTCTGCTTTGTGGCTTTGCAACCCAGAAGCTGCAGTTTTCTTTCTTTTTATTGCTCATTTCTCATCTGCTGTTTGTACAGGAATCGTTTATAGAAGTAACAGGGGGAATTGCTATGGAAATCATACTATGGAAATAAATCAGAACGAGAGGGAGAAAACTAAAGGATGTTATTTTGCAACCAGAGCTAAGAGATTCTTAGATGTCAGCTTGATTTTTATATAGGCAACACTCAAGGCAAGTCAATCTGGGGAGATCGGCACTTGGAGAGAACCACAAAAATAGTTTTTTAAAAGGACCTATTAGGGTTAGTAGCCACACGAGCCTAAATCTGCACCTACATGCACCTCAAACTACAGATCAACAGAACATCCACCTGCATCACCCCTCGCTCCTGCACACATCCTGATCTGCTCTGCCAAGCCCTGGGAAGCTTTCAGAGGTGCCACCCCATAACGCAGTCTTCACAGAAGTACTTCTTTCTTCTCTGAAAAATTTACTAGTCCAAATGAAATCCTGGCCTGACAGCAATTTGTCTCCAATAAAACACTGGGCTGAGATCTCACAGAACCAAGTTTGAAAATTTAGATGAACACAACTTTCCAGTAACAACAGCAGAGTTTGGGGTCCGTTTTAAGCATCTGAAGTACATGTTAAATGACATTTTGAAAAACATGCTATTTTGGGTCTGCCTTTTTTTTCTGAAAACAAGTAGCCAAGCTCATTAATCAAGTTGCTTGGCTTTTGGGGTAGACTGAAAATGGATTCTTTTTTGGTTAAAGCCCCTGCCATCTCTGAAACTGCAGTTCTGGCATCCCCAGTACCTGTGAGGACATGGCAGACTGGTTGAGCGTTACGGACTTGCACAGGAAGATGCCACAGCACAGATGCCATGAGGCCGGGGGAGAGCAGTGTCCCAGGGGAGCTGCTCTCATGTCCCTACGCAGGGTCTCAGCACCACGGTCCCTCTGCCCCAAGCAGGAGATACCACGCTGCTGCCTATAGTCACGGCACTCTGGAAAGGAAAATACACAAGTTGCTTGTTCGTCACTGGAAAACTCGAGCAATATAAATTCTCTCCCAACATAAAATCCCAGCGTAATGGAAATAACCATCCCTGCAAATCAAGGGAGGCAGAAGGAGCTGGATTGGTCTCTACCCACCATCCCACGCCGGGTGAACATCATGTCTGCAGCACCCCTGGGCACAGAGCACATCCCAAACAGCGAACAATCAGGCTCCTGCAAAGGGCATCATCCCACGTGCTTGTCCTGATGGAAACCTACCCAACCGTGCTGCCCCCTCACCACAAAACCAGACACAGCACAGCTAAAGCAAAACGGCTGGAGAAAATCTCTTGGCTCAGTAACAGAAGGAACATTTAAAGGCTAAATACATTTTTTGCATCTATAAAGGAATCTGCACTCATTAAAATAAGAGATATTCACAGTAAAAGATTCACAGGTTTCTTTTAAAAGAAATCTCTCCTGTTCAAAACCCAGGATTTTATTTAGTGATGAGCTTTTTTCCCCCGCACACAAAACAACAGAAACAGTTCATTTGGCAACAGCAATCAAAGACCAAACAACAGTACGTTCCTGCAGAGGCAATCACACTTGATTTCCTCTCCGCTGCCATTTCTATTGCCTTTTAAAACAATTCTCACTTTGTCAAGGACTAATTCAGATTTTAAGTCCTGACTTCAAACTTTCAGCGTGCAGGTTGAGGACCAGGCACTACCCAGCTCGCTGCCTCAGGTCTTCTTTCATTTTCCTCAGCCCCTGCAGCTCTTTTTTCAGGTGCTTCACAGCCTGCAGAATATCCTGGCGCTGGGGATCGTCTTCTGCTTTCTCAGTGTACAGAAGGAAATGCTTCACAGTTTCAGAGAGCAACACTTCTGGATCCACATCCACCTGATGGAGACGCAACATCCTCTCGCAGGCGATGGCATAGTTCTTGTGCCAGTTCACCGGGTGATTTGGATGAGAGTTGACAATTTCTTTGTATGACTGTTAAAGAGACCAAAAAAAAAAAAAAGAAAAGTGAACAAATTAATTGAATGAAGGGGACCAACAACTCTTAACAGTGCTTCAAAACTACCCGTAAAGAAACAGATGCTATTTATTTAGATGTCCAAGTCCAGAGCTGAAGCATTTCTGTAACTCACTCCATGTCTGCCATACAAAGTACAACAGCATGAATTGGAAATCCAAGGGGGGCTGAAATGTTCCCCTTCCTATAGCAGCCTTTCGTTTAGAAACATTACTGATTATTGTGAAAACCCCACCACACATTATGCGTTTCCCCGAGAGAGGTGTTACACCAGGCTGGGGAAAAAGAGATTTAACTGCCACACCTTAGAAGATATTTACTCAATATTTTAGGAGATCAGGATGCCTTCCACAGGACTTAATCAGTCTGTTGACTTGAGTGGGAATATTGATAAGCTCAGCTGCAGGCACGTGCCCCAGAACTTTGCAGAACAGCAAAAGTCACAGCAAAACAGGCAAGAGTTGAAAGGAAAGTATTTGTTGACTCTTTGCTGGGGTATAAAACACTCCTCTCTGCTGACACATACCGACTGCTTTATGCATTTGTTCCCATCTTGGGCAGTCCAGTATTTCCAGAGATACCTACACCAGCTTATGGGTGTTATTCTTTGGTATGAAATGCAGCAGAATTAATTTGCGGTGAGAAGACTGTCGGATTTTACACTTGCTGGCTCAGATGCATGACTGTGTAATGACAGAGAGGACAACTGCATAGAGGGGACTTCAGGACAAGCCATCTCTTGGCATGGGTTTGGAGCTCAGCACAGACAACATAATTAGAGCAAAAGCAGGGTGTTGACTGGTTAGGTTCTGGCATCCTCTGTGAGCGAGGGGGCAAGTAGGAATGGATAAAATCCCTGAACTCTCTGAATCTGCTATGCTCCCAGTCTGGATGAACAAAGAAGAATACAGGCTACAGGACTGCCGACCTATACAGGAAGACTGTATTTCTGTGGAATCAAGAAATTTAAAAAAGAAAAAAAAAGAAAGAAAGGACGGAGACTAGAGGGATCATTCATAACCCAAATATATGACTTACGGTGTATGCAAAAGTGTAAAGTTGTGATTTCATTTCTGCAGTCACGCTGGCAGTTTCTGCAAGGTCAAATATAAAGAAAGCTGTTTTCATCCTAGAAAAATCAAGAGAAAGTTCCATATAATAGCTGCTTAATATAACCAGATCACACCACACGGTTATACACACATCTTCAACATGTCCATGTATGGGACAGTACACCAGCAGCTCCATTTAAGTCATCAGTGACACAAATTTGAATTCATGATTTATTTTCTCACCCTATGTCCCAACTACCCTCTTCTCCTTCAAGACACTTTGAGCAGAACCTTTTGGTGAACAAAATGATGGCTCCCCTGAAGGATTTGCCGGAGGCCATGCACATTCTGCCAACCTTTTCCTTCCAAAGCTTGGCACATTTAGATCCAATAAGGCCATGCACCATCGAGCTGCCCGCTTTGGTGTGTATTTCCACACCAGTGAGCTGGCATCGCCCACCGGTTGTTGGAAGGGAGCAAAGGAGCATCACCTGGCTTGCCACATCTCCTCATTGGCAACAGCTTCCCAGGAAGAGGGCTTGAAACTAAACAGGAATGAGAACAAAATTCAGCCATCAGATCCATGCCACTGCGTTTCAGCCGGTTCGCGATTAACCCTTCCAACCCAGGCAGCTACAGACCTCCCAGGCAGACGAAAACCCGTCCTGAAGCCTACGGCTCTGACAGCAGGGAATTCAGCTGATCCTCAGTCATTCATAGAACGTTATTCCTCTCTTTCCACAGAAGGAGCCTCTGGTATATCAGGTGTTTCACAGCATCCTCCCCCCCCCCCCAGTTCGGTCTATGACATTTAAAGCTTTGGATGTCCCAAGTCCTCAATGTTTTTTGGCTCCCAATCAAGTTTTAAGATTAGAATTGGACTTGATATTTGACTAGAAATGTCCTCTCTATTTTTAACACTAATACAAATACCACATGTGGATTTATTGTATGTTCCAGAAGACAAAACATTATGATTATCATGTTTAATTTCTCTAACACTGCAGGGGATGTGGCTATGATGCTGGCAGAAGCATGATGAGCAGGAAGGAGCAGTCACCTCTGCCTCATACCTGCCATAGTCTTCAGTCCAGTTATAGAGATTTCTTGTAAGATGAATCCACTCTTCTGGGTCAAAAACAACATCAGAAGGAACCAACTTTTCACAGGTACCCCACGGCCAGAGAGAATAGCTCCTTCTCCAGGTCGAGTCACCTTCATGAAGACCTATGCAGACAAACACTTCCTTACTGCCAACAAAAAACAGAGAGAGCAATCCTGAAGCCATGCCAGAGACCGTGGGCCATGCCGCGTGCTTGAGCAAACCACACACACCACACCGGTGCAGCAGACAGGTCTTAAGCAGCACAACATTTTCTGCGGCATGGATCCCCACCCAGAACATTTCACATCAGAAAGGGCACGTCTTTGGGTCAGTATGGGAAACAGCTCGCCTGCTGCAAGTGAACACCCCATCTGGGATCGCACATCTTCTGCAGCCCGCACAGGAGAGACATCCTTTCCCCTATGTTGGGCCTCACAAACATGCCAAAAGCCTTCGGAGAAGCCCATTTCTTCCCGGCAGCACCTGGCAAGGCTCTTCTGCCTACCCACACTCGCAAGGCTCACCCGGCTGGTCTAAATGCAGATGCTATTCCTATTCATGTGAGTATCTAATCCTTTCTCCACTCTTACTAAGCTATTTTTATATGATGATTATTCCTGGAATACATTCATTCTATGCTAATCAGTTGGCCACAATGTTCACGAAGGAGAAGCAGCAGCAATTTGCTCTCCAACCATCACAATTTTGAGTAGACAGGAACATTCCTTTTTTTTTCTGACGAATTGTATCAAAAACAACAACAAAAAAATCAGCAAATACTCTCTGCTGATCACCTTCTTATTTTTCCTTCCTAAAAAGCAAGCCAACCTCAAAACAACAAGCAACATTATATCCGGATGGAGTTACTTCTGCATAGATATTTGCTTTAATTGCAAAAATAATCTTGCCACCGGGGAGCAAGTCAGTGGAGAAAATTGGTCTTTTGGATGCAGTACCAAGCTGTTCCATAAACAATTTCAAGAAAAAAAAAATGTTGAAGATTTTAGGAAAGCTGTTACATATGAAAGAAATGCTTACTGTTTATTTACTTTGAGGAAACGATGGAGATTAAAAGCAAGTGTCCCATCGGGTAATACTCCTTCCACAGGATTCCACCGGTTCCCAGGAAAATAAACACCAGGTAAATGCTTTGCCAGCTTGGGTAAATACCATTCATAAGTCATCATCTATTACCAGAAATATTATCATAATTAAAACAAGAAGCAAAGTTTTCATCCATTTTACATCCAGAAGAAACGGTTTCTGCAGGAGTAATGACTCTGTTTGTTCAGTAAAGTCACCTCCCATTTCAGCAATGACCCGGGACCCCACCACCAGACCAGATCACCAGTGGTTAAATATGAGGGGGTGGGTTTTGGGCTTTCCAACAGGTCACAAATTCTTGTTGCAAAGGCAAGTGCAAGGACTGATGTGGCAGTGGAAGTGTAGGTGTCCCCTTCTGTAGGGGCTTTTTTTCCTTCTATTTCTCAGGAAAAAAAAATGGAAAGAGTTCAAACACCACCCAGGAACACACAGCACCTCCATTTTAATGTCAAAAATAGAGGCAGACGTCTGCAAAACCAACTTTGGGGGAACCAAGATAACAGAAGGGATGCGAGGAGTAAGCCTCAACATGGCAAAGCCCTTAAGAGAAAGCCCAAAGCTTGCACTGTCCACGGGGCAACTGCTGACCTGCTGCCCTCCAGGCTGCTCCCAGAAGTCTTCTGCTGCCCCAACATCAGTATTTCAGGGCAACTGCAGGAAAGAGCGGGGACAAAGCTTCCTCAGCAAGGCAAACATCAGCCCTGGGCCACATCTGGATATGTGCTGTGATGAAGGACTTCTGCTTCCCCTTCTCTCTATCTGCTATTGCCTCCCTGTTGACTTTTTGGGCTTGAATGGGACTTACAAAACATGCTGCATCCCAGAGCTACTCACAGATCCATTTTATTTATTTCTACATGATGAGTTTTATTGGAACAAAAAGTCCCCATTGAGGAGAGAAAGGAACAACTGAAATTTGCCTCCTGTTCTTAAATCAGACTGTTGCCTCTTTTAATATTAATTTCTGAACCTACCTCCTGGTCCACTAAGGTGATATCTGGCCTCATCCCTTCACAATAGTGAACGTAACGAAGAGCATTCCCGGGTAAGTCTCCTCGTAGCAAGATCACTGCACCCGTCGGCATAGAGGACAGCAAATTCCTTGCAAACTCATCAACAACATAGTTGTTGCTCTGATCACAAATGCTTAAGAGAACAGATAAAAATCAGTATCTTAAAAACAGATATTAGCATGGCTTTGCATATCTTCAGAACAAATTTATCCAACAGACATCCACAGGGGAAGTCCACCCTGGCCACATCTTGCTGGAAAGCATCATCTCCATTTGCAGGGAAACAGAGATGCAAAAACAAAGCCTTTAGACTGCAGTCCTCCAGAAACCAGGACCAGAGACATGAGCCACTACAGTTTTGCCAAAATACACACTTATTGCATGCCTTCACCTTAATTCTGACTTTTTCTTGGGCTAAACCTCAAGACTTACTAGTTGGTGCTGGAAGAGCCAGTATGATGGTTCTGTAAAGCATTTGAAACCCTCCTCATCCTTTTAATGCTTTTAATTAAGCATTAAAAGTTTTTGTAGCATCAGGCAGAAATAGATTTACATGACCTGAGATTAGACCCTTTTCGTTACGCAGTTGTGTGTGCACTCACTCCAGGTATGAACTCAAGAAGAGGACACTCCATGACCAGCTCACGACATAAGCTATGACTGGTTCACCTGTGGATCAGACTTTGGGAAAAGCTGTGTGCAAAGGCAGGATTCCTGAGTATAAAGTCTACACTTCGTTGGTCAACCTCTACCTGAGCATCCTTACCACTACAATGATTCCTACCCAAGCCACTAAAGAGCCTTCAGCACGGTTATGGGATAAGGAAGCCCTACACTACAGATGTAACTCTTCAAAAAGGAAAAAAACTAAGAAAAACCTCAGGGCACAAGGTTTCATGAAGCAAAGCAAGGGAAGGAGGTGACTATTGAGGTCAAATGAATTCTGTAGACTTAGGAAATAAAACACAGATTTAAGAGTTCCTTTCCTAAGAAGTTTATGTATCTACACAGTGTTCCTCTTCCAACCTACATAATACCCCCATTTAGAGCCTGGCACTGGTGCTTGGTGATTCTGAGGGAAATCAAACAAGGGAATCCCGCAGGCTGTGACCACACAAGCTTAGGTGGGATGTGAAAAGGGCCTTCCCCACTCCAAGTCAAGGACAGAACCCCCAGCAGCAGGGTGGGGGATTTACCGCACGCCACCCCGCAGCCCCACGAGCCTGCACCACGACACGTGCCCGGGGGATTTGTTACCTGTAATTTGCCCATATTTGAGAAGCCACAAGAGCAAGAGCAGAGAGCCACTCCAGCCACGGCAGCGCCCGGCTGCCCCCCAGCACGGCGTTTCCAACCGAGGAGAGCCCCAGCCCCGCCAGCACAGCCACCACGGCACTGCTCTGCAGCCAGAATCGCTCCACCTAGGAAACAAAAATCCCACAGACCCTATTTCCATTTCCCCAGCTATAAGGAAACAGAATAAGTCACTGTATTTTTGCACCTTACTCAGCTTCAAAACAACCACCTCCTCCTCCTCCTGATTAGGTGGTTTTAAGGCTTCTTCCAAAAATTACCATGCCAGGGCAATTTTTGGAGTTCAACTTACCACACCCAGAAACAGAGGTTTTGTAATATCCAAATTTGCTCTCCAAGCAAAGAAAAGAGAATAAAGACAGAGCATTCCAGTGAAGAGCCAGATTACAGGTGATTTCTGCTGCTTTGTCCTGTAAAAAAAAAAAAAAGTAGCACTCTAGTGGCATGACAAAAAAGAAGACGTAAGTTATACGTGCTTGAGAACCACCATCTCTCTGCATACCTAAATGCATTTAACACAAGGAGCTGATGAGCCTTTACCTTTGCAATTTATGAAACTTCTGTTTTCAAAGCACAAAACCATCAGGATTTCAAGATTTTTAAGCTTGCCATCTCCAAAGCCACAGGGTTACCAGGAATAGGGACATTTTGCTCTTAATTAATAGAGGACCCCAGCCAATTGCTGAATTTTTCTCCCCAGCAAGCAGAAGGCAAAGACAGCTGCCCATGCAGCCAGTAAGAAAGTGCACGTTGGAGCTAATACTCTCCTCCAACTTACGGCAGTGCTGTGCTCACACAGGCCATGAGCGCCAGGGCGAGGATGGGAAGGGAGAGCTCTGACTTCATCTGCGCCAGCTGAAAACTGCAAAGAAATTAGTGCATGGATGCGTCATCCCCAGATTGCCCCTTGCACTCAATTAAACTGTCAAGAGAAGCAGGGAATAAGCACAACATAATGCATTCCCGCTCTGCTGTGATTAAGTCAACCAGAAATGGGAACAAGCTTGGTTTACACGTCAGGATTTTAAATGGAAAATCACTGGGAAGGGGGATCCAGTATTTTTCATTCAATGAGGAAGACAGACAGACAGACATATGAGCTGTCCCTGCACTGGACACACACCACCCCAGCTCTGGACCAAGCCAAGGAAAGGCAGGACAGGAGCTACTTTGGCCCAAATGACAGCAGCAGCAACAGGTTTCTCTCCACTAAAAGGCACAGTCAAGATTTTACTCACACCAGCATTTCTCTCATACTGGATCCTGTCTCGGACTTGGCCTAGATTTAAAAGAAAGAAAATCCATGAGAAACCCACACGCTGATTGCTGTATCACTGGCGTAAGGAAAAGTCTTTCTGTTTTCTGTTTGCAGAGCCCTGAGCACACAGGGCTCCTCAAAACCCCTTCAGGTGGTACCCCAAGGTGGGCACCGGGAACAGGAATTGCTTAAATAACAAAAAGACAGAAAAATTCTACTAAAACCTTCATTGCAAAATTTTCTCCCATGTTTTTGGTTTACATTATGCCACTGTGCAGGGTTTACCACCTGGATAAGCATTTTTTTAAGGTGCTACCAACCCATTACCATGTGACTCGAGCACATCATATGTTTAGCTGTGATCTCTGCTACATCACAGAATCACAGCATCATTTAGGTTGGAAAACACCTTTAAGATCGAGTCCAAGAGTTAACCTAACACTGCCAAGGTCACCACTAAACCACGTACCTCAGTGCCACATCTAGACATCCTTTAAATACCTCCAGGGATGGTGACTCCACCACTTCCCTGGGCAGCCTGTTCCAGTGCTTGACAACACCTTCAGTGAAGAAATTTTTCCCAATATCCAATCTAGTCCCTGGCACAACTTGAGGCTTTTTCCTCTCGTCCTATATCTGCACAATGCAATTATTTTCTAGGACATCTCCCCACAGCCTAAGACAACCTGCTTGCTTACCAGACTTGCCCCTGTCCCCTCTGCACTGACGAAGGCAGAGCTGTATGAGATTTATATGAGATTTATGTGAGATTTATATGAGATTCACAAGAATTTGTACTGCAGAGATTTGCAATCCACGACTGGGAAAGAATACAGGCTCGCTGGAGGTGAGGAGTTACCTTCTTAGGTGCTTGTTGGAAAAGTGGGGGCTACCAGATAAAATAGAAGGTAAATGGATCCAGGAGGTTTGGAAGGAATATTTAATCGCAATGAAAATGGAATAGTTTTAATAAAAAAATAAGGGTTGGAGGATGCAGAGCAAGCCCACAGCTCCTGAAGCAGCACTGCTACCTCTCTGCTTCTTGCAAAGCCCCACCTTGATGGCAGCTGATGGTTTCTGGCCTCAAACACATCCCTCGCAGGAGATGACATCTTTGATCCTTGGTTTACAGGTGAAACCCTCTCCTGAGTCTTTTCTCGGTTTTTATTTGACCCTGCCTGCCCTTAAAACGGAGCCATGGGACACAAGGGCTGTCTGTCCATCCAGGCAGGGCTCTGGCATTAGCCCAACTGACGGCAGGACCAAATGCTTGGATTTTGCTGCGTATATTGTTCCTGCTTCAGACAAGTTCATCGCAAATGTGATTTGTGGTGTAGGATTACAAGCAGTCCATCCCTAAGCCTCCTGAACATCAACTTGAATTCATCACATTTGATGGAGAAAGGAGTTAAGGGATTTGCATGCCTTGGTATTGCTCTGCCCAATGGAGTCTCATTCTGAGGAGATGGCTGGGAACAGGACAACAGGGGAAATCTCAGAGGGTGGATCTTATCTCTGTAGGAGTTTTGGAAAGATTAAGAGGCAGCAGCAGGAATTATCAAGTCTTTTGCCTCAGAGCCTACAGCCACACGGCTCTCTGAGAAGGCTGTAATGGAACGGCAACGGTGCTCACTGCATCACATTGGCTGGACGCAGGGGCTTAATTTCTGAGGATGTGAGGCTTCAGGACCCCAAGGAGCAACAAAATATGTAAACCACACCTTCTTCTCTTTTTTTCCCCCAGTGGTGTGATTTCCCAGCCCTCTGCACTGAAATCTCAGAAGCAGGAAGGACAGAAGGGGTGCTGGGTGCTTGCTTTCCTTGGGTGGCCATTGCCAAACCTCTAAGTCAGGGTTGGAGGAGGTAGATGCAAACCCTATGCTCAGCAAGCAACTGCGTAATACCTCCCTCCCTCGGCAAGAGCACAGACCTGTCAGCAACTCCAGGCAGAGGTTTCTGCGATCCCTCAAACCTCCCATTCATTTAAATTCAATATTAGTAAGAAGTTAAGAGGAATCTTTTTAAAGGTACAGCAATGAAAACGGCTTGCAACCTCTTCAAATAGCTGAATTTAAAATAAAAAAATAAGTCAACTATCTCTCTTAAAACAAGGAAAACACAAAACTGATGTCACCATATCCCTCTAGCACAGGTTGCTCTTTGGGGTCTTACAAATACAAGACACCTGTGCAGCTCCCAGTAAATAACATGGCTCACCCCGTAAAGGCAAAGAAATATTTCTTTGCTTTCCAGCAATGTAATCTATTCCCAGAAAACCTGACAGATCAGAAGGTCAAAATCAGAAATACATTTTTAAAAATGAAAACGTTATTTCTTCCCCTGCAAGCCATTAATCAGCACAAACAGAAAAGTTCTGCTGTTTCATAAGTTAAAAGAAAGTAATTTTGAAAATGACCCTTATTTACCAGATTGAATGTCCCATATTCTTCCCTGAGAAAGTGGGTCAAAAATCCTTGCAAAGTCGTCTGGTCTCCCCATGTCCAACGGGCTTGATTGAGGTAGGATGACACCGGCAGATAGAGATAAGGCAGCAAACCAGCCAAGAAGCATAAACCCAACTTCAGCAAATGGCCTAGGGACAATTCCTGCACCAAAATATGTCATATTGCATAACAATGTTTATTTTAGTTTAATCACGCTGGAACTTCAAGAACAGATAAAGAAAAAACATCAAATATATTTACACAGAGCTGATCTCTCAATTTATAGTAAGTCCCTACAAAATGCTATGTTAAACCTTACGATTTTGTGGATTACTAGGAAACTGCATCAAACTGATCTCCTTTGCATGGCAGGGTGAAATTTAAGTGAAGCAAATAATATTAGCTAGGACTCATGAGTATCATACTCATTGCATCTTTCACATTTAAATCATGGCATGACATGCATAGATGGCTGAAGCACTGCAAGGCTGAGATAACCCACTTTGCAGCGATTAAGAGTTGGCTGGTATTCCATCTGGCAAAAAAAAAATTAAAAAAATGCTGCTCTAGTACAACTACACACATCATCACCATCATCAGGAGTCAGTTTTGCCATTTACTTATCGTGATTACACTGGCTAAATTGGATAGGCCAACTTTTGGGGTGGGATTTTCAAGACTGCCTAAGGGGTCAGGAAGACACGACTTTCAAAGGGACTTCTGTGCCTAACTCCTTTAAGTGCTTTGGAAAATCCCACCCTAGAATACTGCACGCTTGCTTTATCGTTAGCCACTGCCCTGTCAATCAAAGCACTTCTTCAGCAGTTGGGGTTATGGGGAAGAGGCACCACTCAGAGTGAGGATCTACAGAACACAAAAAGTAACTTGATAATGGTGGTGGCCAGAATTCCTTCAGAAGAATGCTGGCTCTTTTGTACTTAATAAGGCACTGATTTCCATCAAATATGCTTCTTATTAGGTGGTTTTCTGCAGCAGGCACCGCTGGGTTGTCTAAAGTATTTCCCAGGAATATTCTATTGGCACAGGATTGTCCTTGCTGGAAATCACAGAGGTCTCTCTGGACCTCCCTAGTTAAAAAAAAAAATAAAATCCAACACATCTGTTTAAAGAACACAAATATATTGTACAAGTGAGTCTTCATTGTGTTAAAAGGAAATACATAGTCAGAAATAGGTTTGCTGGAGACGCTGAACAGATTTTGGATCAAGCTTGTCTGAGTTACATCTTATCTCTTGCAGCTCACATGCTTCGCTCCAGGCTTAGTTATACCCTGTGCCATAACTCAGAACCACACCTGATTTATGAGGCTGAGGGTGGAAAAACACAGGCAGGAGAAACCTGCCCACCGTCAGCTTCAGGGGGGCAAAAAAGAGAGAGGGGGTGAGTAGGTGGAGGCTTCTCAAGGCCACTCGCAAAGCGATCGGAGCACCTGCATCGTTGTGAGGTGCAGCTGTTTCAGGGCAAAGGAGAATTTCCACAACTTCTCTACATCCAGCCTGATGCAGAGTCTCACAGATCACCTACAGGAGACAAGAGCATTTCAGGGCCCCTGAACGTCACCCGTGAGCCTTGTCCAGGCAGATGCACACCACCTTCATAAGCCAGGCATGCTAAAAGGTGTTTTCACCTTCCTCCACAACTAGCAATCTTAATAGAAGAGGGACATCTTAAGAATGGGATCTCTGGCAGGAGACGAAAGGCACATATTGGACCAGATGAGGGCCTTGCTGTTTCCCTGAAGGTCAGCCTTCTTTTGGTCTTTTCCACCTGAGAGCTGATCTCTTGTCCTTGCTTCGTCAGACCTGGAGGCACATCTCAAGGAGATGCTGAAGAGGACTTTTCCCTAGAGACAAGCATCTGCACCCTTGTTTCCGCGCTGCTGATTCTTGCTGCACCTTCAACTATCAAACAGCAGTTGCAAGATGCTCTGCAACGAGCAGACGCAGCTTTTGTTTGCTACCACCAGGGAATCAACACACAGAAATTCATCCCCAGATGAGCTGCCAGCATGAGAAAGCCAGTGCCACCAGCCAGGAGAAGCAGCGCACAGAGACTGCTTATGCCCGTGACTTCTCACCGACAGATATTTATCCGCTTTCCTGTTTGGTAGGTCTTGAACACACTGAGCAGTTTTTAGCTCTCAGTATTGGTCTTGTGGCTGCTCACAGGGTATTTGCAAGCAGCTGGGGCAGAGCACTCCTGTGCCAGGAGACAGGGGCAGGTCACAGATTGCTGGTGTGAGTAAAGCCCCTAAACGGTGATCAGTGTCACAATGTCACAGAGTGATCAGCTCTGGGGTCAGACTGATGGACTGTGACTTCAATGGGTTATGAGTGGCTAGTTTAGACAAACCACTGACTGTCCCTGTTTGTACATCAACGTGAAAATGTTGCAAGTGCTTGAAAAGAAGAATCATTCACTGCCTTACAAAAATACAGGCACAGGTCAGCAAAATACGTACCGTCTTTGTGAAAAGCCGACAGAGAACCCAAGGCACAATACATGCGATATAAAGCACTATAGTGTGCTGATTGCACAGACTGAGGCCACAGCAAAAGGCACCAAGTTTAGAGATCTGAAAGGAGAAAAAAAACCCAAACACATTCACAATTACTCTTTACAGTTTGCAAATCATCCAGAGACCAAAATAGCTTCAGTGTAGCCCACAGCACGCTTACAGGAGAAAGGCAAAATACATAAGTGAGTACCCGTCAAATGTAACATGGATAACACAGGTTATTTTTGATTATTTACAGGGAGATTTCATTTGTTTAATGGAAAACATTATTTAAGAAGCGTTCAGCACAACAGCTGTGTCTCCATGTATACAAAGAACACCTGGAGCATCATCATGTCATAACAATGCAGTGGGGTCCAGTTCTTGAACCCCTGCTGCACAGGGGAGACTGCCCGGCAGTTAACACCCAAATGATGCAGTTTTCAGAAGCCATACCCTAAAATAATGCCATTATGTACAGAGATCTCATTTTAGATAACAGCAATGATTTTTTTTCCTCTTCTTCAGGCACAGAGGGCTAAAGTCAGGGCTACATAAACTTCCTAAGGGAAGTAAATGTGGTATCCCTCATTAGTCTGAAAGCTCATTTTCAAGCATCTTTGAAAGAGTTTTCTGATAAAACAGGTAATGTATGCAGCATGGTGCAGGGTATTTCTGGTACTCACTGAGGTTTATTCACGAGTTCGTTATTGGCACCATGGCCAGCCCTGGCTGATGATAAGGAAAGCCTCTCTCTGCCCCACACTGCCATATGCTCTGCTCTGCCCCATCACCATCAGACCAGTGCTCAGTTCTCTTTGTTCAGTAGGGGAGGACAAGGCTACAAGAGAACTCCACACAGAAACCCTGTGTCAGTGCCACGTGCACCACTGCCCACTGCTCCTCCTCTGAATTTGCCTCCTCCTTCACCATCACTGCCCACGTGGTCCATGTCACAACCTGAAGACATGCCTCAGGGCAGCTCCTCGGTGGGCAAAAAGCCAACAGAATCCCACAGACATTGTTGGACATGAGGTGACAACCCATCCTCACCTCCCCAGCACGTCCATCTCTCATCAGAGCTTCGCCCCTCCTTATTTCAGTCACCGGTGAGGATGGTGTGTGAGATGCAAACACTTGCCTTGGTGTGGTGATGGCATCACCCAGCAATTTTTAATTGGATGCCCAGCGTTCACTGTTGAACGGTGCCTTGCCATGGAAACACCCGCCATAACTTCTGAAAAACATTTGTGGGCTTCAGAGCTGCCCTGTGGGACTCAGACCAACCTCAGTAATTTTTCAAGTATATTGATGAACTCCAAGGACACCCTGAAGATGTTTGCACAACTGTCTGACTTGTGAAAAGGACTGTGAGCTTACTATTGGCAGCCTGGCTTCTTCAAGGCATGGGATGCCAGACACCCAAAAACCACTGAAAGAAGCTCCTTAGCTGCTTGTGAAAATCTCAGCTGAAAATCCCATTGGAAATTGGGCGTGTGAAATGTGGAAGCAGGTTGGGAAATGCCCAACCCTATCTTTGTGGAGTTCAGGCTGTAGGGATCTTGGGACAGTACTCATCAGTAAAGAAAAAAAAATTCAATGGTGAAAAAAGGTCTCTATAACCACTGATAAAACATGTTATTTGAGAACTCACGAAGCTGAGTAAACTACCACTGCAGACTCCTGAAATTCTAGCCTAGCCTGACAAAAATCCTTTTATTCACACAATTTACAGGAGTCACAGCAGGCAAGTCTGTGAGAGGAGAAGAGATCAGATGTTCAGGCAAACAGAAGTAGAAGACTGCTGAGTAAAAACATCATTTGGCTGCTTAGTCTGTTTATAAAGTAGAGAATATAGCATGAAATTTAAAGTCTCTGCATTTAGCAATGCCATTATTTCAGGGGTTCATTTAATTTCAAAAGAACTGACTGAAAATTCGGTTGTTTCTGGTTTTCAGTAGAAACCTGGGTTTCTGACTAGATGAAGTTTTCTGTAAAATATATTTATTTACCCCAAAGAAAAATATCAGTTCTGAAAACAAAAACTTGGAACACCCACAGCCTAGTTTAAGTCTTTGATGCAAGAAACCAAACTTTGCACTAAAACATTTAGATAAAAATGATTTTGCTTTTCCTGTTTCCACCCTGTGTGTATTAAACAACCCCAAACCCATCCAACAGGTTCCAACTCAACCTTAAGCCAAGTGGACAGGTTTTTCAATGTTTGGCACTTTTGAACATCCAGGTAGGTCAGGGATGGACATCACCCAGTACACATGCTGAAGAGATCCCCAAAGTTGGCCTTTTTTATTTCAACAAAACTAAATCAGCACTAAATGAATAGGAAATTAAACAGATGTGTGATAAATAATTGAAAAAAATTAAAGAACTCTTCACTTTCCTTGAGATGTTTTACCTTTGATCTCTCTTTTGCAGTGGATGCCTCCTCAAAATGCGCGGTGAGAGCCATCAGCAGCCCCACAAACAGATTGTTTAAGCTAAAAACCTCCGCCGCGATGGACCACTGCCATGTTAGACGAGAAAATGAAAACACCCCCGCAGCAAGGATTCCTCCAGCATATGAGCCAGAAAGCCTGCAAACACAGATAACATGAAATCTTCTTTTCCAACAAAAAAGCCTACTTTATTGTCCTTTTTTTTTTTTTTTATAAACACACTGTAGCAGCAGAAATGATGACTGCCACCCAGCACCCTGCCAAAACATTATATGGTTAATATCTTCCTAATAATTTCTTTGCTAAGAATTGCAATTAGGAAGAGGAGGCGTTAGCCAGCCCGTCTATTTGCAAGCCACCCAACACCAAAGAGCCCGCTTCTTCTTGCAAGCCCCATGAAAAACTTCCAGTATGGAATTTGGTTCAGAAACCCTGCTGAGTGATGGTCCAGCGGGTCACGGTATGCCGAGCCAAGGAGTCATGCCTCTACTGGGATGCTCTCCAGTACAGCCTTAAATTCATCAAGGCACTCAATAAAGAGTGGATTAGAGCTATTCATGATGGACAGCATTAGCAGAGCTTTCCTGGGAGGGTGTTTAGTGTCTTGGGGGTGGGTGAGGATTGTGGTCCCAGCAGGGAGAGGTGCCCAGGAGGGTCAGGGTCAGGAGTGGGGAAAATGGGTGTTAGCTCCAGGCAGCGGGAGGGAGCAGATGATGGACCCGCCATTGAGATGGCTGCGAGCCCAAAAGCTGGGCAGCTCTGCGACTCCCGGATGGGATTACGGCACAAGCTCCCCACAGAGCCACTTGCCCAACTCGGCTGAAAGCTGCAGCCGGCACGGGGAGCCCACGAGGTGGGATTTAGCCCAGGAAACCTATTCCTCCCATTCTGCAATAGTGGCTCTTCCCACCCAGTCACGTCAGGGGCAGCTCTGGCTCTGCCCGTCTGGAAGGTCTCCCCTTTGGGGAGTCGCCCTGAAAAGATGCCACATAGGGCACCACAAGCAGCTCAATTCAGCCTTATCCAAAGACAGAAATAGCTACGGTTATGATCAAAGCTCCTCTCCAGAAATTCACCATCCCACCGTGAGACTAGGTCAGGCTCTACCACAAATTGGGTATTTTTCTAGTTCCACCCCAGGTACGCACACTTCCATTTAGTCCCAGTGTTTCCAGAATGTTTAAAGCAAAACGATGATAACCTAGCCAACTTCTTCATTAATCTACTTGTGTAATTTGCTCCTAAATACTGGCCATATGCTCTAGCACAGCCAAAATCCCCAGGTGGCTTGTTCTGCCCATCAGGGATTGGAGAGTGGATGTCCACGTAGAACTTGCTTATGGGGTTCCTCACGTAACTCTGAGATAACTGGAGACCAAGGAATCAAAACCTACAGCCTCTATGAACAGAGACGAGGGAGCTGTGGCAGAATACTCTCTAGCAAGGGCTCCTCTCCTTGGTTATGCTTTCTTTCTCCTCCAAGGAAGAGGTGGGACACACACAATCTGTCTGGCAAGGTTCTCAGCCTCAAGGGCTCTGGCTATGCTCTCCTCCTCCCTGTAACTAGAAAGATGTGGCACCTGAACAGAAAAAGAAGAGATGTGATGAAGAATCAAGTTAGGAGTGGTTTCTGCTCCTTAAGAAAAATACCAGGAAAAGGCAGCAGGGCCATATGTAGTTAAAAACTGAGAGATCCCCCGATACACAAATCCCACTACACAACATCCCTAAGTTTTGACTAAACGCTTTAAACAGCACAAACTTTTAGTTATAACAAAATAACTTTGTAAATCCCTTTGAAATTCTTGCAGGGAAATAAAGTAAAAAAAAGGTAAAACAACCTTCCTGAAAACCTTTAGATGAAAAGCAGCATTTTAGGCAAATGTCCCAATCATTTACCAGTTCTCTTTGTCTTTCCCAGAAAAGACTCGAGTGTATCATTAGAGTCCAAGTGAGATGAAAGAAATCCCGTTCTCTTGATAAAAAGTCTCAAACCTGCAATTCAAGTTTTATGAAATAAGGCTTAAGCAAAAGCTACTCAACACAAAGCTTGAAGACTTATCCCAGCTATGCGGGGCAGAGGACATTTCTGCTCACCGAGCACTGAAGGGTCAGGATCCAGCACTAAGCATGGTCCACAGATCTGTTTGTCAACAGAGCAAACGTTGCCTTTAGTTTCCTGTGAAACTCGTGAGAAAGCCAGGCTGCTAAATTTACTTTGTGAAAGCACGCTGTATGCATAGAGCAATAAACTCCTACAAGCATACCAGACTCTAAAAAAAACAAAGAGAAATGCGTTGCATTCTTGAAGAACATCAAGACAGCAGCTTTGGGAAACGCAAGCTGCAGACAAAGAGGTTTTTTTGCAGATTCTCTTAGCAGTAATGGAAATGATGGATTTACAAGTTTGCTGATTCAGAAAGAAACACTCTTGGAAGTGGAAGCTATCAGAGCAGGTATTTCCACATGAGGATGAAGACCATCTGGCAGAAGAAAAAACATAACCCAGCAGGTCCACCCAATGCAACAGGTCACAGTGCAAATCAGCACCAGTACGACAAGCAGCAATGAATCCCACGCAACTATGTCAGCATGATGCCAGGGCCAAATTATATCAACCCTGCATTGCAGCTGGGCCAGCATGGTTATACTGCTCATTTTGATCGACGTCCCTGCACTCTGCCCTCTGGCAGCCTCTTGGACTTCTCCAGCATGGAGTGACACTGTGCCGTGTCTCTCTTGCCTTAGCACCAAGAGGGGCCCCCCAAACCCACACACTGTCCGAGGAGGTGACAAAGAAACTCGGGCATGGACAACACAGGTCAGGCACTTACAGTACTTTAGACCAAAGAACAATTTCAAGGTGGGAAAGACAGGGGTAGGGGCTTAATTAGGTAAGACATAAAGAGATGAAAGAATGGAAAAGGCACAAAGATGACAGTAAAACAGACAAGAAGAACTGAAAGAGCAAAGGGATGGAGCAGAGCTCTGGACCTGAGGTCAAGAAGCCTGAAGCCAAGAGAGGATGAACAGATTTGCAAAGGAGGACAGTGCAATCTATAACTGAACATGCTGCTGCTGACTCGTTGCATAATGAAGTAGGACGTTAGGAAGCCAAAAGATAATGGCTCTTTTAATTACAGGCATAGACAGCATTTATGTGGTTAAGACAGAGTAAACTGGAAGACAGTTAACACGAGAGGTAAAGGAAGGAGACTTCCCATAACTGCAGCAACAACTCAGCAATCCAGTTGCCAGTGTCAAGATGGAGAGGGAACAAGGCCAAGAAGCCATTTGTTCCATGGAAGGTAAGAAAGGGTTTTCTCATTGTACACAGACACATGCCTCACCAAAATCAAACACCTGGTCTGACAGACATTGCAAATAATTCCTGCAGTGAAGCCTTGCTGGACAAGAAGCAAGCACACAGCCTTCTGTCTTGGCCACCCAGCCTGGAGTCCACTTCCATCTGCACTGGCTGGAGGCTTGCCGGTACACCGTGGTCAGGAGAAGGAAACAGTTGAGTTTTTTTCTGAAAACACCTTTTAGGTGCTTAACACTGTCCTTCCTTTTGACAGCACATCACGGCTCCAGAGCAAAGAGCGGCAGAGATTTATCCTCACTTGACTTCTACTCATGGTTCTGTCTTTGAATACATTTTTGAAATATAGTTGAGATGCTACAAAAACTATGACAAAGACCCATGACAGCTGGATTCTCGACTGGCCTCATGTAAAAGCAACATCTAGGTGGGCTTTATTCCATTGATTCTGGGGAGCAAGGAGGGCAGCTCCCAGCTCCCCCCAAAGCCGGCATGTTTCCCCGTCTTTGAAACCGGTATGAGAAAGAACAGATGACTGGAACAACTGGATCAAGAGGTTATCAACAATGAAGCCATGGCAATGGTAATAACCATCCAGTCAGTGTTCATCTGTCAACACAGCATAGGCATAAAGTTACCTTGCAGTGACTCCCTCAAGAAGAGAGGCTTTACAAAGATCAAAAGGTTGGCAAAACCCTGCTATAAAGCTCTGTCTAGTAGAGGAGGGATTCTAGGCTTGGGCTAGGTAGGAACTATCTCTTGGAGAAGGCAGCTGTGTCACCTAGAAGAAAGCATTCAGAGTAGTTACACCCTGCTGTTGGAACAGCCTCAGCACACAGAAATCAGCTCATGAAAGAAGAAAAGATTTGCAGCCAACGCAACAGTGGGAAAGTCTTCATAACTTCTCCCAGGGGTATTACAGCTATCACCGCCAGGCCCACTGCGAGAAGGATTGAAGCACCGAGCTTGAACAAAAGCTGCCTTCCAGGCTTGTTTATCTTACATGGAGGAAAAGCCAAGGGAACAGCTTGCATTTTTGGTTTTGCAGAATAACTAGTTTGGGACACGACCTGCTCAAACCAAATGGAGCCATTTATCAAGACAAAACAAGTGGGAAGAAGGTCCTTTCCTATCAGTCAACCAACTACAACCTTCTGAACACGGGCAGAAATTCCCATCATCTGAAAACGCACTCAAAAGGGACAGAAACACTCGGCAAAGAAGAGGTCACACAGTCCTTTGCGAGAAATATTTTCCCATGGTATCCCTAAATGCAAAAGGAAAGGACTGAAAAAATAAATAAATTATTTTGTTTTCTCTTTCAGGCACCCAAGTGAAAGAATGTATGGCTGGGCCTCAGCTCCAAGGACATGGGCAGTAGAAACTTGCTTTAATCAGGAATTTTTTAGCTGCAGGTTTTTATGAAGAGTTTGCGGGAACAATCGTGAAAACTGAAATTAGGCATTTTAATCTGCTTTTGCAATCATAGTTTTTAGCTTCTCGTTCGTGGGCAATCACTAAAACATGTTAGTTTGTGATTTAAAATTTAGCCTCTCCTCTAAGCTTGGTAATACTTTCAGTTAGTCAAGACCACAGGTTACATCTATATGCATCTAACAAAGAACTCAATCAGCATTTTTACTTTTTATTTAGAAAGTAATGGCAGACACTTATATTTAATAATTTGCAAGAACTTATTAAATGATTGGTATAAAGCTATATATGGATAGGAATTGGAATTTAATTAAAATGTTTTTGTTAAATGCAATCTTCAGTGCACTGGATTCATAAAGAAGTAAGATAATTGGAACATTTT